ACGGGGTCATGACCCCCATGTGCCATTCAGAAGTGCGTATCCCAATCCCTATATCTCTTGTAAATCATTGGAAAGGACTAAATCTGATAATTGGAATAGGTTGAAGCCGCCAAAATCGTCCAATGGACCAAATACCCACCCCTCGGCACACGAGGCTACGGCCCGATGTTCGCGCCACACGCATTCCCCGGCGTCGCGCCCGGTGCAGAGTACGACGAGGGCTCACAAACAGGCACCATTGTGGTTGTGCAGATTGAGTCGAAGGCTGGTGTTGAGAATGTAGAGAAGATCGCTGCTGTGGAAGGCATCGATGTCCTGTTCATTGGCCCCTTCGATTTGGCGAAGCAGATGGGTGTTACGAGGGGCGGGGAGGAGCATGAAGCGGCTATTCAGCGGATTTTGAAGGCTGCGCATGCGGCAGGGAAGAAGGCCGCTATCTTTTGTACGGATGGCAAGGATTCCCGCGTGCGCGCGGAGCAGGGATTTGATATGATTTCCGTAGTTACGGATGTGGGGGTTTTCAGGGCGGGGATGTTGAGTGAGTTGAGAACTGTTACGGAGGGGCGGTAATTTGGGATCCGGTAATGATAGAAATATAAATGTTTGACTACCAGGTTGAAGTAGAGAAAGCTAATCATTTCATCATGTCTCTTCTATGTGATCGCTATCTTATCACTATGTTAGAGTTCGGGTTGGGTGGTAGCTGTAGTTGAGGTCTTGGGCGCATGGGAATTTACCACACGTAAGTGTCCTCTGGCATGTGAATTCCATCGTTGATGGATGCGCTCTTTTGGCTAGAATTAGCATTCTGTTTGTGTCTAGATTTGAAGCCGGAATACATACCATCGCTCTACCACCATCAACCAAGAGGTAGCCTCCGGTCATGTAGCCCCCGGCTTTGGAACTCAGCATCAGACACGGTCCGACAATCTCTTCGGGATATCCAGGGCGCCCTGTTTTATTAGAGCTGCATTATGCAAGGTGTTGGGCAAGTCACGTACCAGCAGGAGCCCGCTTAGCAGCACCTTCTGAGACGGGATTGAGGTTTTCCGCGTTGCCAGTGGTATCAGCGAACGTCATCTCGCTGGGGAAAATTCCGGGGCAGATGCAGTTAACGCGGACTTTCATACTAATGTCGTCGTTAGGAAGAGCACTTTGGAATCAAAAACATCATAGTTCCAAGTCTGTTGCAGCAATGGATAAGCAGAAAATAGACACATACGGAGAAAATCTACCAGCCAGGAGCTTCGATACGTGAAGAGCTTTGAGACAGAGTTAGCTAGCGTAGAAGGGACGAATGACCGGCAATTAAGCGTACCTGCAGCCTAAAATGATTGTTAGCAATTTGACCCGATGTACTGTTAGTCATGGAGGCACTTACTTTTGAAGCACCATAAGTCACCGTTCCCACGGTCCTAGTTATCTCTTAGTTTCCAGCACTAGCTTTCCATAGGACATGTCAATAGCGTAACTCACCTCTGGTTGGCAAGCCCTGCCAAGGAAGCAATCACAATCACGCTGGGGTCCGAAGACTTTCGCAGCAGCGGAAGAAATCCCACAGTGGTGAAATAGACACCACTGATATTAACTGTCCACATCACACATTAGTCCTTTCCGATATTCTATAGGCAGAACTACACACCATTATTGGTTGTGGTAAAGGATTCGCTTGATTTTATCAGCATTGCACCTCATCGAAGTGAAGAATGCGGCAACTTACTCGTCGACACTTTCCCACAGCCCCTTTTCAACAGCGTCCGCTATTCATCCATGAGCAAACAAGCAGCCACCAAACACACGGGAAAGGTGGCCATACGATCATTGGGGTTCCAAGGAGGATAGTCCGTCTTCCCAGGCAGACCAGCATTACTAATAAGCACATCAACCTGTGACATACTAGTTAGCACATCCTTCTGACCTCATCAAATCCATCATCTGCGTACATGGTTCTCCTTCTGCTTGATTTGTTCAACAAGCTGGGCACAGCCGTCTTTTGTGCTCACATCGCCCTTGATTCTATAGAGATGTGTCATCAGTTTTCATTCCAGCCTCAATGGTGATTGTAGACCAGGGAAGCGACTAACGGTATAACTTGTCCACCGAGTGTCGCCCTTCCACGTAGTTCTTCCGCGGCCTTCTCAAGGACTTCAACACGACGTCCCGTGATGTAGACTTTGGCACCATTAGTAGAAAAGCCCTCCGCGATCGCTGCAATAGACTCAAAGTTAGATCCTAGACTCCGGAATATATGATCCTAGCTTGCCTTTGCCGAGTCCGGTGCCTCCGCCGGTGATTACGACGATCTATGTCTCCATTAGACAAGGATAGTAACGTGGATGGTTTATACGTACCTTGTCCTTAACGCCGAACAGGTTGGAAAGCTGGAGAGACATGGTTTCGCGGATGTATCGGATAGCCGTGGAGAAATTTGAGTAGCCTCGAAAGAGTCTATTGTATTGACCTGGTTTTAATTATGACCACGATAGATGGACAAAAGATAATTGTTGAACCTTCCAGACAAGTGACGACGAGGGCGTGGTGAGCCGCGGGGTAGATAAGCGCCGGAGTTCAGCCGAAGCGTGCTCCAGCCAGTCATGGACGAGGTAGCTTTTAGAAGTGACACATAAAAGTAGCACCGCAATCTTGAGTGAGCTCTAATTGAACAAACATTAATAGATCCAGTAGCAGATAATTTTACGATACTTTACTCTGGTGATAGTCCCCACATAGAGAATGAGCCTCCGCTGTACGTGATTTTGGAAAGAAAACCAAGTCATAAGTTCGTAATTTTTCATACATCGTAATGTATATCTACAAGATCATGAAAGAGACCGTAGCCAGGACAATAAGAAAGACTAAACCCTGCCTATTAGTCCCACCCATCATCGACAAACTGGCCGCCGACTCAGCAGTATGATTGGCAGACCCATTGACAGCAGTGGGTTCGTCGCCCAGCCCCAATGGCAAACCCTGATAACTAAACGTTAGATTTTGCGGAATGGATGTGTTGTAGCACTGGCCATTCGCAATGTCTAGATTCGTCAAGTCATCAGGATGCAAGAAGAACATGTAGTTCGACTGATTAAGCTTTTCAAACCCAGACGTATCGTATGGGAATTTGTCACCGGAGTCAGTGGCGCTCGTGTTCCGAAGAAAGATACATTGCACTTGGCCTGGAAAGTCGGTCGCCATTTCTGGGTAGTCACGCATGACGTCGCTGTTGCTGGTGTCGGCGATGAGGAGAAACTTGCGATGCGGAAATGTCTCAAACACCTTTTTCAGCAGGAATTTGCGGATAGACAGGGTGGCGGAGACGTCGCTAAAGTTGAGGGGACGGGTGTCGAAAGACCCGCCGGGGTAGTTGTCATAGATGAATTGCATGTAGTTTCGGGTGACTTGTTCGGGAGTCGTCGTCTGTAGTGTGGTGGTGAGTACGCAGGAACAATACAATAAGGGACATTTGGTAGACTAACTAGGTAGTGAAAGTGCAGGTTGGGGAGACTGATAGACCAATTGCGATAGATGTCCGGCATATTCTCCCATGGCCGGAAGGGGCGTGCGAACGAGTTGAGTAATCCTTGCTCGGGCTCATAGATTTTGGTGACCCGTAGGATGTCATCGATGTCCGAAACGACAGTGAGCCCGGTCGGAGGCACAAGATAGGCGGTGCTGTTTCCAATGGTTGCGCCCTCCACATGAACGTTAAGCCGTTGTATCGCCGAGGTTTCGTTACCTGCCGTCAAGCCGTTACTGGAGATTGGCACGAAGGTGTCAAAGTCACCTTCGACCGTGGTGTTGTAGGGCAGAGTGAGGTCTTGGGTGCCGCCAGTGGTATTAGAGGATCCACCGCCGCCTGGCTGTCCGCTGGATCCCTGACTCGGGGCAGGCTCTAAGTGGATCGTGTTTACAGCCACGTCAGGTTGCTGGACGACTAATATTTCGGCTGTTAGATTCCGGGCCTGTTTCTGCTCGGATTCAGAAAGGTCGGATATGCTTGTATTGCCGAGGAATACATCAGCCAAATCATTCAGATCGGAGATGGAGGTGTTGGGCTGCTTGTAGACATTTCCGTGGAAGCGAACGTTCCAGCCCGAGCTGGTCCAGTTGGCATATGGGTCGATATTCAATACATTGGTGGGCAAGGCTGCCAACTCAGCGCTGTTCAAGCCCAAGGAGCTCACCACTGCATCTCCAGTGGGGAAACCCTGGAAGTAGTTGGGCACGCCCGATGCGACCCAGGAGGGTAGGTCGGATCCCAGGCCAGAAAGGATGCTGTTAATATCAGAATCGACGTCACTCAAAATATTTCGACCAGCAACTCGTGAAGGGTGATGCTGAACCGGCGAAGGTGTGATGACGGGCTCGGGCGGAACGACATTTTTGACGAACGCTGTGGGCGCTGGGATCGCGGAGACAACTGTAAGAAGAGCTGCCTGGAGCAGGGCCTGACAGGCAAAGCTTGACCTGCTCATTTTTGATTCTCAAAGTAGTGGGGATAGACCTTTTGGCGCAGGAATAAGAGTAACATGGCTGTCTGTATTGTTATATAACAAATAGAACATCCACCAACGTCATAGCCGTGCAGATCACTGGAACTCCAGGGCCACACAAGCGATTCATCCATTGGGTCTGGACGGCAAGACTCTGACCCGCAGTTAATTAACATATTCGGGCGACAAACCAGATTTCTGGATCAGGGACAGATCAGGAACAGATCAGGGTCTTCATGCGTCATGGTCCCGGAGATGTGTCCACCACATGGATGCCGGTGCTCACCCCCGTTGCGTCATACTCAGATGGTACGCGATTCCCAAAATTCCACTGCTGTTCCATAGAAATTGCCGTTATTTGATGGAGAACTACCGTCATATCGTGAATTTCATACTGGCAAGGTAAAATTAGCCACCTCCGTCGCACTAACATTATATAGGTAGCTTGGAATCGCATTCCTCGTCTTGGGTTAGGTTGGTCCGAAAGGCCCTTAATCACAGTACCTTGTAGCAGGTGATAATCTGCGTGATCTTCAAAACATTCGAGTCCTTCCCAAGAATAAAATACAAAGTACTAAACATATCAAGCCGGTTCGGATGCAGATCCGATCGCTGGTTTGTCGCTCCAGTATCCACATCGCTCTTTACCATGGCGATCGAAAGCCGGAGTCCAGCATGGGAGAATAATTAACGGAGAGAAGGACGAGAAAGAAAAATTTACCCAAATAGATATATTAGAATAAAGAATAAGCAATAAATTATAACTTTATCAAAATAGAATCCTGCTGGCTTCTATAAGGGTATGTGGTCGAGAAGGATGCTATCTTTGTGAACGGTCTGAAATTCTCTCCCCGTTGGGAGCATAACAGTGGCATTAAGCGACAGCTCGGCAATGAATCATCCTCCGCAACCCTCCATAGGAACCTACCAGTCGCATACTTTGCCCTCGATCGATTGTTGCCTAATAGATAGATTGTGTCGCATTTATGTGATTTGCACCAACGATACTTTGTATTCTTATCTCCCGAGTCCAGGTAACCACGTTCTAGCCTCGAGTTGAGGCTGTGTAGGTTGCCGGCGGTGCCCCGATCTGCATGCATGTCAGCGTGTCGTGGCTGACGCTAACTCGCTCACTTCATCCAATACTTATATTGACGGCTATCTCATCTTACCATAGATTTTGTCTTGTTCAACTCACCCTTCTTCTGCGACACCAATATAATATGCCTTCTGCGGTGCAAGCCGTGGACTTTTCCTGGAGTAGCGTACTGATCTCCTCCACCCCATTAGGTTCTTCACATTCTGACCCGCTCTACCAGACTGCGCCAGACCCAGCCCTGAATTTCGTCCCCTGCTACCAGGACTATCTGTGTGCACGTCTTGAAGTTCCCCTAGACTGGTCAGCCAGTGCCACTGAAAATACAACGGCCACCTTGGCCGTCATAAAACTGCCTGCACAGGTAGACCCTGCCGACGAGCGTTACGGTGGCTCTATAATCGTGAACCCAGGTACGGGCAACAATGTCATTACCGCTACCATTCTGGCCCCCACCACGGTTGCTCACTACAAATACAGGTGGTCCTGGCGGGTCCGGCGTGCAGGAAATACTTGACCGAGGGAAAGAGATTCAGCGGATCGTAGACAGCTCCGATGATAGACAGCACTCTCGCTATTTCGACATTGTTTCCTTTGACCCCCGTGGCGTGGGAAATACCCTCCCTCCCTTGACATGCTTTCCTGATCTGCTGTCTACTTACCTCTGGAGTGAGGCCGTGCAAGCTCATGGCTTGGTAGGTAGCTCCGACCATGCAGCTGATCATCTCTGGGCCCGCATGCAAGCCCTAGCCACATCGTGTACGGATCCCCATAAGGATGGTGCGGATATTGGTCCGTACATGAATACATGGAGTACGGCACACGATCTGCATCATATTGCTCAACTGCTCCAGCCGGACCCTCACGCAGACGCAAAGCTGCAATACTGGGGTTACTCGTACGGGACTCTGCTAGGTGTTACTTATGCAACTCTCTTCCCGAACCAAGTCCACCGGATGGTGTTAGACGGGGTAGTAGATGCATTAAGCTGGTACTCTGGTGATATGTCAACATCTTTCCGGGATGCGGATTATATACTAGAAAGTTTCTTCCGCTACTGTCATCAGGCAGGCCAACCGAGATGTGCTTTTGCTAGCCCATCCGCCAACGGAGAAGACTATGGAAACGCAATAAGCGACCTCCAACAGCGTTTCACGTATATACTGTCTGATCTGAAAGCATCCCCCGTCTGGACTACTCATCCAAACCCAGACATAATCACCTATTCTGACGTGAGACGTCTCCTAAAACTCGCGTTGTACGCACCGCTCGACCTTTTCCCCATTCTCGCTACCATCCTAGCAGATCTTGAACAACGCAACGCAACGAGCATGGCCGGATGGAAAACCATGCTACGCGAGGAAATGCAGCCGACTCACTGCCTCGATCCAGAATGTCAGTCTCATGCTCCGTGCCGTGAAGCATGCCATTACTCGTTCCGCGTAGAAGTGACTGCCGGTACCGTATGTCTGGACTTGAACCAGAAGCTACTGAATACCACCCGCGAAAAATATTGGGATAAGTATCTTCGGCCTTCCATTGAGAGCAGCCATTGGATGGGGGATACGTTTGCAGACTTTTTGATGCCGTGTGCTAGGTGGAACGGTCGGGGACCGGGGGATTTCAAAGGTTCGTTCTAGTCTCATTGCTCCTAGGTGCTGCCTAAGTACTAACCTGAAGAAGGACCTACCGGGGCTCAGAATACGTCCACACCTATACTCTTCGTCAGCAATACTTTGGATCCAGTGACTCCACTTGGCGAGTAAGTGTCCCGTCACCCTGTTATCTGTCTATGTACTTGCATCTACGGCCTATTAACGATAGTATCAGCGCCCACGCCATGTCCGCTCTGTTCAAGCAGTCTGCCGTATTAGAACAGCATGCTGAAGGTGTGAGTACAATTTCTCTACCTATGCTTTCGGTTTTATTCAGAGATGTATGTTCTAACCGGACGTCATTGTAGCATTGCTCCTTCGCTTCGCGTTCGAGGTGTACAGACAATTATATCCGCACGTATTTTCAGACCGGGGAGCTTCCAGCACCAGGCACGCGATGTGAGACAGATATACGCCCATTTGGGGTGGAGGAAGTGTCAGATGGAATTTCCCAAACGGAGTTGGAGAGGACGGAGCTATGATCTATCTTGGTACATTGCCCTGTCAATACTAATTAATAAGTGAGTAATCTCACCAAAACCATTAATATCAGGTCTATGAGAAGATGCATTGTTTCTATCTGTTATGAGGAGCTGATATAAGGCATATATATTTTCTGTCAGAATAATGGATGATTGTGAAAAGAATGCCGAAGGAACGAATGTTTTCATACTGTGATCCCGCGTAGGCGAGGTCACGTGCAAAGTGTCGGTCGCGGCCCCAGCACGTCGCAGTCTCTTTCTGCTGCTCAGCGCTGCTGAGATAGGATATCACATTGACTGCTGAAGCTGTCCAACACTCTCTCTATAACTAATTGACACACCCAAAAGAGCCACTAGTCCCCCGTGTATCCAACAGGTGCCAGATAAGTGGTCGGTCACCGGACGCGTTCCGCCAAGTCCAACACAGTGTCCAACCACAATCAGTTCATTCTCAAAACATAAAACATCTCTCGATTGTATACTAGTCCGTCAACATGGCCCCGGGAGAATAACTTTCGTTGCGCCATATACCGGAATTCGTAAAATCTGCCTCTTCACAACCTGCCACCCAAGCCGATTGCATTCCGACGACCTTGTCGGGCCTGATCTCAGCCGTATCGCAGCGCTTGAGAGGCAGGCTCAATTTGCGGATATGGGACTGGGAAATTCAGCATACGCTCAAGTGTCTCGGCTTGGAGCATCTTCTTCGAAGCGATCTACCTCGCCCCGACAAAACTCACGCCAAATTTGCACTCTGGCGCCATTGGTCAATCACTGTCCGAAGATGGATGAGTCGCCAGCTCTCTCGCAAAATGAAAGCGAAGTTGGGGGCCTCTCGCTGTGGTAAAAAAACACGCGGATGATGCCTACAATGTCATCCGAGATCTTGGCTCGCACTACGACCACGCCATATGCAAGGCCACGTGGTTCAAGCTCATTAACATGCGGCGGTTTCATTACACTACTGTGGCGCAATACGTTGCCAGTTTTCAGCGAGCATATATTGACGCGAAGGAGTTGAATTGCGGTATTAGTCCCTACACCGCACTGATTGCGATCCTTGGTGAACTCGATTTAGATCTTCCGCATTGGGTCGCCACGGTGTCATTATTCTTGTCTGAAGATGCGGTGACCGATTATACTGACGCTTGACTTTGTCAAAGCCTGTCGCATGGTAATAGAGCAAGATGATATGTTGAATCAAAGGAATTCTGGGGTTGCGAGAGGCGGGTGATTTCTTCCACTTGTGCCTTTCGAGAGAATAATAACCCAAGATGTGAGAAAGAGAAAATGCAGAGAAATAAGGGTCGATATCTAACCTGTACGGTGGTTGGGAAATTATCGAATTCCTTATCCTCAACATTGAATGAGACAATGTCAGTACCCTTGCAATGGCCAATGCACCACAGCGATGACCTATCACACTAGGGATTGGGCGTGTTTTAATATCCCCTTCCCTATGCTCAGATATCCGATCTCATCTCTATCTTTCGAACCAATCCTCATTTCACGAAAATCTAACTTCAACGTGGAAACCAAGCACATACTCCAGAATGATCAACAATCAAGTCTTCCGTTGTTTCCGCCATTTGAATATGAAGATCAAATAGGTCGCCAACACGGCCATCGTGTAATTGAAAAGAATGAATCCAATGAAGATTCCGACGTTGTCACCCCGTTGTGAATAGCTCATGGCATATTGCTTGACCTATATTTCCAAGAGGGCGTGTTAGCAGTTCTTATGTGGACGAACGGAAGTGAACAGGAATGGAGGGAATAAAAACCTACATATTGATCACCATCCGCATAGGCACAGTAGCGACACTCCTCAGTTGCGTCAGGGTTTACTAGGTAACCTGTGGAATCCTCTGAAGCGAAGAAGTCAGCTGCATACGAGGCACATGTCTCCCCGACGGGCACATGGAATGTGGTCAGTTCGGAGTCACGGCAGGTAATCTGCAGTGAATGCATGGCGTTGGTACCAATCCCCTCAATGAAATAGAACAACGGGGAGATATTATAGAACCAGCGCCATCCGCGAGGTGTCAGAGGTGGGGGTGAGAGAGGTCCATTGAAAGTATTTATCACCAGCCAGACGAAGCCAGTGGCCACCTGTGCGGCCAGCACGGTGGGAAATAATGCGGCCATTAATTGAGCAATACTCGCGACGAACAATGAGTAGAGCTCGTACATGAGAAAAGCATAACCAGCGCGCGTTGAGATGGTGAAGTATCCGACCATGTAGTACCACAGAACCCAGTATAAAAGTCCTCCCAAGAGCGTGAACGGAATCTCCACGAGAAGCGCGCTGATAGTAAAGACGCTCCAATGGTATACACGTGACTCATTCTCCCGTGTCAGGAATTGATCGCGCAGGAGGATGAAGCGAGGTTCGATCTGGAGGCTGAGTACGGGTCCGGTGATCACTCCGACGAAGATAGAAAACATGCGTCC